AGCAGCTTGCTGGGCAATGACGGTGGTAAGGGTGTGTGGTGTGGTGTCTCTTTTTTTGCCTACCGGTTAGCCATATGTGAAATTAAAAAGGTAACTATTTGAAAGATAAACGTGATGCCCCAAAAAGAGGAAAAAAAAAAAAAAAAAAAAAAAAAGGGTTTTCTTTTCCCCTTTATCAGTTTACACAGTTTTATTGCCAAGGCAGTCTTTCAGGTGTTCTTTAAGTATACTTCGTTGCATACCAGCTTTATCAAATCCTGAAACAAAGTTTCACAATGTAAACCAGCACTATTTGAATCTATTGGTGAGGTTTCTTTGGCTATATCCAGATTTTGAGAGGATTACCTGATAGTATTATTAGAGCTGTTGTACTGTAAGGACTGGACAATTCAGTTTCATTCTGTTTATCTGTAAGTATTTATCTTATAAAACAGAGGTGTTTTATCAGAACTTTCAGAGGACCACATTTTGAGATATGTCCAAGTTCTTTATGCTGCCAAAAGAGCAATTTGCATTCTCTAACTCTGACTCATAATCTTCATTTCAGATCCCACACCTTCAGAGACACCGCCCTAATTGCTATTCTGTCTTGTGATGATCGGAAAACCTTTGTAAAATCCCGTTTCCTTTTAAAAATAAGAGGAGAACAAATTATGAAGTCTTGAGACATTTGCAAAAGGCATTAGAAAAAACTTTTTGGCCAACCCTAGTGATTATGCCGTTGTATTTGGTGCAGCTAAAGGACACAGATATCTGATACTTAGAACAGGCTTTCTGTGCCATTGTAGTTAATTACTTGGAACCTGGAATAACTTGGAGGTCAAAAGTATCTGTGGACATTTTCTGAAGACTTATTGTTTTGTATTTCAGTGGATGAGTAAAATGTTAAGCTCTGTTGAAACACCCTTCTTTCTGTTTTCCAGATGATGAAGGTTCAGCAATTCTTCAGAAAGCAGAGGTAGAAATTATTGACCAAACATTATGTCACTCCACATATGGAATTATCACAGCTAGGATGTTTTGTGCTGGACTACTGTCTGGGAAAAGAGATGGGTGCAAAGTATGTATCTTAGCCCACTTTGCATAAAGTTTATCTTGTCTTTGTTGCATGATGATATGTAAGAATTTACTGGCAGACCACTTTGTGGTCTATACATTTCAGTTCTGAAAAACAGCAATGTAAGAGTTCTCTATCAGCAAATTCGTCATCTGGGTGTGTTCAGAGTTTTGCTGCTTTATGTGCATGAGTAGCATCACTAAGTTTCAGTTGCAGGCCAAGGACTGAGCAGTTTGTTATAAGCCCCTATAACAAGTTGAAATGAGGCAATTTTTGGCTCAACGGTCTCTCAGCTGAAGAAAAACTGAGAAACTAGCCTGCCTCTTTTCAGGACCCCTCCCTCCCAGCTTGGAACTACAGGGCTATTTGATGAGATGCAGATATATTTCAAATGTATAATATTTGTGATCTGGAAGTGCTGAAAGATAATAAACATGAAGTTCTGAGTCTAATTCTAGTGAATAGTAGTACAACTATATATATATATATATATACACACACACTATATTTCTATAATATAAGATTTTTATTATAATTTTTAGAATTTATGTAAATCATATATTTACTACTAAAATAGTAGTAAATTTACTGATAAAATAATAGTAGAGCTACTTTTTTACGATGGAGATGATCTGGAGTCTTCAAAGTGTTCTAACTTTCACTGGTCTACATAAAAAGTGAGAGAGACCACAAGGGCTATCAGGACAAGCAATGTCTGAGGGCTTTCTGAAGGAGTATAATGAACCAGATGCTTTTTAGAGAGTAGCAAGACCATTTACATCAAGCATAATTTTCACCAACTGGATAATTTTTTTTTCTGTAGTTATCTGTATGGCTACTCAAGATATAGCCAAAGTTTTTTTTTTTTTTTTTTTTTGGCTGCATTTCTGTAAGGGCAAATGATCTGTGACTGTCTGACTGTTAGAGCTGATAGAAATGTGAGATTTCTGTTTTGTGAAAAATGCTGATGTTCTATTTCTTCTCAGTAATTAAAGAAAAAACTTGAAATTTGACTCTTTAAATGCAAAATGTTAATTTTCAAGGAAGGAAAAAAATATCTAAGTTAAATCTTTAACAATTTTGTGAGGCAATTCAAGATAAAGTCCCTTTGCGCAGCAGGTGACTTTACTAGATCATCTCCTGATGTCACTTCCAACCTGCATATCCTAAGACCCTATAAAGTTAAAGCGAAAGAGTTTGCTACCTTTAACAAAATTTAGGACTAGAAGAATGGTACTTCTCCTGCAAAACATTTAGATTTTAACAACTCACCTTTTGGGTTTGGAAGTCCTTTATTGCATCCAATGTTCTGGTGAAGTTCAATTTGCTAATAGCTGTCTTTTTCAGAGCTGCTGTGTGTACAGCAGAGTCTTAACAGGAAAGTATAAACTTGGTAAAGAACTTTTCCCCAAATAGTGGCGCTTTTTTTTTTTCCCTGAACCTCTACCAATATATTTCTACAAGAATACCCTATACAGGAAGAGTACTACTTTCTTTGTCCTGTATTATGGAATTATGCCATCCTGTATAAAACTTTGACATCCATAACAGACTTCATTTTAAATGCTCTAATTGCAAAGACATTATGTGCCCCTAAACATTACATGCTCGTTTGTATCTACTAGAGGACAACACTTGGGATTATTTTTTATAAAAACCCAAATCAATTAAGGGGTTCAATCTGTTTTCATTTACCTTTAACTTGACAGAAGTTATATCATTATTAAATATTGTGGTTTATTTTATTTATTTGATTTTTTTTTTAAAAGCTTTATTTTTTTGGAGTTAGGTATGTAACCTATAAAAAACCATACATATTAACTAGCAGATTTGGAGTCTAGTGGTAGGCTTGAGGGTTGGAAACAAAATGTGAATTTCACACCTAGTCTATAAAAAGTAGTATTTTTATTAGTGTCTATAAAGAGAGAGAGCTAGTCCTCTCTCCTGTGAAAGAGCAAACTTTGGTACAACTGTACAATGCCATCAGCTTCAAGGAAAATACCCCTGTTGACTGTCTAATGGTTTGAACTATGTGAATGGGAAAATAAAATAATAGTTGGAATTACTCAGGTAAAATATCTCCTGGGGAATTTTGTCTCAGCTTTAATAATACATGCTGTAAACACATGCAAATCATTTCTTTTTAGGGTGATTCCGGTGGACCATTGTCATGTCAAAGCAATGGAGATGGGAAATGGTTTTTGACTGGCATTGTTAGCTGGGGTTATGGATGTGGAAGACCAAATTTCCCAGGTGTCTACACAAGAGTGTCAAATTTTGCACCATGGATTCACAGATATGTGCCTTCAGTCTTGTAACTTGAAAACTGTTTTCCTAGAATAAAATATGTCCTGGATATCTTAATTAAAATTTATATTTGGTAAAACTGTTCAGTGGTGGAATTTCTTTGCATGTCTACCTGCTGATTCTGCAGTACACATATGGAAGTAACAAATGCCCTTTGTTCAAGCCTTGGTGAAAGAAGAAGAGACTATTCCTTGTGATGGTTGTTCTGTGCAGATGTCTGGAGACACAGCAGAAGGTGCAGTAATAAACTTCTGGCACTTTGTACTTGTTTTCCAGGCACCAAGTGCATGTGCAATCATCTGTCAGGAAGCTGAAGATACAGCTGACCACCTAGAGGTAGAGCTTAAGTTTTACTCGGTCATTTCCTCTGAGATGTGTATGGCCCAATTCAGTAGTAACTGTGAGGTAGCAATCAACTGTTAGTACTCTTCCCTACCTCCTCTACCAAGAACAGCTGACAGGGAGAGGAGGAATTGCAGAAAGTAATTAAATCGTTTCAAATCCACAGGGCTCTCATTTTTGGAGATCAGAAGTTTTGCAGTTAAGCACGGAACAAACCATTAGTCTTATTCCTTCTCCAGCTTTCATCTTAATTAACTGCATGATGTGGAGCTACTAACTTTTTTCTGCTTAATTTCCCCATATTCAATTTCATCGACCTGAGAATTTGAATTCTTTATCTTCAGGCAAGCTTAACAAGAAGAGTAAACATGGTGATGTGTGTTATTGCAATGATCTTGTCCTTGCCCAAATAAAACTGATGCTTCTACCTTCTGAGAGGTATTGATATGGACTTGGGTTCTCTGAATGTATATAATTTTCAAAAAGTCCTGATAAAATTTTTAGAGATGATATAAAAGAGCTTTTGTTTCCTATAGGCTTTTTCTGTGTTTCTTTTCCATGAGGGAAGCGGCAAAGTATCAGTCAGTCAGCGGGTTGTGTGTGTAGTGCAGATAGGCTGTTGAAAGAAAGAGAGGACTTGAACAAAGCAGTCTGTCTACAGTTGTAGTTTGCATTCCTGGGCTGTGAGGATTGCTTTCCAATTAAGCCCTTTTGTAGTCTCTGTGTTGGGATTTAATACCTTCTTGTTTTCTGGGACTGAGATTTCTTGGGCATGTTTTGTTTTTCTAGGTTTTGTTCTTTGTGCTCCCTCGCTCTCTCTTTCTCAACATGTATGTAATACACTTTTCCCTGCACACATCCTTGATTTTCTTATTTTACATGCAGAATACCCTGAACTTGTTGGTTTGCTGACTTAAAACTGTTTTATATTTCAAACAGGAAATGTGAACAGGAATTGCTTTGCAGTTGTGTTTATTCTGGGGTACCAGCTTGAGGATGGACAATTCTGATGGTCTGTGGAATTATGCATTTTTTCGCTCTCATAAATATTTCTGGATTCCACCAGGTGTTCTTTAGAAGTTGCCTTGTTTACCTTGCTTTGGGACATTTTTATCTGTAAATTGCTTTCATGTCCTTTGCATTGTGTCATAAATTATTTCTTACTCTTGTATTTCTGAAAGAAGTGATGTGTTTTCAAGTGATCAGATCCATATCCTACTTAGCCAGTTAGGAAAACAAAGAGTTACAGTGATGGTAACTTCTCTCCACCTTCTTTGATTGCAGATCAGCTGGCTCCAGCTTGAAGCAGTATGGCAAAGACGAAATGAGAGAAGCCTGGTGTGTGTGGTGGGGAGAGCAGCATGTTTAAGAAATGAGGTTCATTTAGGATTTTGTTATTAGGTTTGTCCAAAGGAATTGATCAGGCCATCATGATACGGTCTCTCCCCTCCAGCCGGGTTTCTGTGTACAGCATACCAGCTCCATACGACTCTGAGCAGACTGCAGGGCAGGTAAGAGACACCAGCTAAGCTTTATAAGTAGGAACACAGTAAATGATCTTTCTGTCCACTCTGGTGTGTATTGACCTCTGTTCTTCATATGCAAATTGCTCTTTACCAAAGTGATAACAATTTTTCCCCCACTTATGTAGCTTGGAATGCATGCCGCAAATAAGCAGCAGAGAAATATGTGGGTTTCATGTGTGGCATAGCTGATAAAATGAAAGATGTTATCTCAATTTAAACCTCTTTAAAAACTAGAATGGTAAATATACTAAAATATGGAACAATAAATAGCTCTTCTTCTGCTTCTGTTGTCTTACTTAACCGATGCCTCCCCATGTATTTCTCTAGGAAAATCTGCATATTCACTACTGCCCAACCGGCGGAGGAGGCTTGGGTCAGAAGTACTGTTTCTTCAAATGGATGAGGTTGTGTTTCTGGAGAAGATGGCTTCTAGGAATATTACCTTTAGTTTCTTTAATAGTTACAGTAATCGTGCTAGTCCTGCACTATTCATTCTGTAAGTTTTACTCCCTGTCATGGTCTGGATGGGTATTTTACGGTGTGGGGATGATTAGTAGAAAAAGCTCTGCACAAAGCAGCTAAGCATGTAATGCATGTATAAACTACTGACTTTCCCTTCTCTTTAATGTCTGCTAAAGCAACAAAATGCACAATAATTAGCAGTTAGTAGTTGCGCAAGAATAATGAAGGTATGTATTTTATATCTAACCTTTCTGTCTCTGCTTGTGAATACCATCATTATTATAACTGTCTTCATTCCCAAGAACCTATAAGATTAAACCGTCTATCTTTTATTCACTTTTTCAAAACCAAATGGATACCTAATTTATGTATGCTCCTTCCCAGATCTCAACACATAGCCATTAAAACTGTATCTCTTCAGAAGGGAGCACTAGAGCACTGCAAAAAATGGAAGTTTAACAATTAAAGCTTCCTAGTAAAAATGCCTCTCTGAACCTGTACCTCATTGCTCTCCTTTCCTTCTGGGCATTAGTCTGCTAATGGGCTTTACTCAGCACTTTGGCTATTACTTCATGTTTCTCTTAAGAACTAATACCTAGAGACACATCAAGGACAAGTACATGCTTCTGTACGCTTCTTGTTCCAGAAGCTTTTCTGCAATGTTGTTAGGTGTGCTAATTTTTTTATTCTTCTTTTTTATTAGTTCCAGCTTTCTCCTTTATTTATATTGGTGGAAGTGTAGAAATTCCTAATTTGACTTATACAAATGACCTCAGTGATCCAAAGTCACAGAAATTCCTCCTGCAAGCAGAAGCAATCCAAAACTATGTAAGTTCCCACATGAATATAACAATAATTTCAAAATATTTACTACAGAATCAGACTGGGTATGGGGACTCCAGTTAATCACATTTTTTTTTCCTTCAAAATTGTAAGGTTAAAGCTAGAAAGTGTCTTAGTGGTGTACAGGCTCAGGAATGTAGATAGACAGCGGGGGTTGTGTGTCTCGTAGTAAGGCCAACACTTTCTAGGTAATAAAACCTGGAGGTTTCATGGTTATGGACAAATTATTCTTCTTAAAGGAATTAGGACCGTGTTTTCTGTTTTGTTTTGTTTTACTTTACTCAAACACTCTTCTTTGCTATTTTTTTTTTTTTTTAATTGCAGCTCCAATTCAATGCTCAACTTTTTGTTTTGTTTTCGCTTACCCTCCACAACAAAGCTTGCTTTCTTGCACTTCTTATGTGAGTTACTATTTGTGAGATCAATGCTGTTTCCTGGGTACATGTGAACAGCAGACATAAACACAAAGCTGTTCTCTGTTAGCCTGTATTTCCAAAAAGAACTTAATCTAGTGTCTCAAAACTGCTTTGTGCACAGCCAATACGAGTTGCTCATGTCCAGATTATATGCCAGAAACCTAAAGACTGAAACAAAAATATAAAGGTATTCATAAAGGCTTCTTTTTCATGGCTAATTATCAAGAGCTATCTCAGTGGTCTTGAAATGTGATGTGATTTAAAAGTTTGGGTTTTTTCCAGTGGAAATGAATACACATTTATGATCCTTATTTGATACAGTTTGTGAAAATGATGGAGAGTTCTTGTAATATGGGAGGACTGAGGAAGACAGAAGGAAGAAAAAGACAAATACTTTATTGTGTAAGAGATTATGCTGACACTAAAATGTAACACTACATTTTCTTATACCGTTATTTAACTGTCAGTTTGCAGAAACATATGGGTCTTCCTCCTTGAGAAAGTACTACATGAAGTCTGTAGTGGCTGCTTTCAGGTAGGTACTGTTACAGCATATTGTATACATTTGAGATACCCAGTTGTGTTTGTCTTTTTAAATGTGTTTTAAACTTGTTTTGTGAAGGAATATGCAGTTCTCTATAACATAGAATGAAAAATGCAGAAATGCACTTAAGTATATGAGCTAAGAGCTAAATAGTGTGACTTCTGCCTTACCCTGTAGAACTGTGAAAGAAATGAAACCTGATTTAATTGTTCCTTGGGTTGTGGGTTGCTTTGTAGTCTGTTCAACTACTTTTGATTTTTTGAAATACAATTCTCTACCACCTGCAGAATCTTATTTTGGTTTTGTCTGTTTAAATGAAGCTCCTTTTTTAACATCCCTAAACAAAATATAAAGGTATAATTTTGGGCGGGGCACTCTAATTAAGCTCCTGGTGAGAAACATAAATACATTGAGCAGATGGCTACTACTGTCCTGGTAGTCTCTGAAAACTTCTGAAAGGTCAGTCCATAGGCCATTTTGAAAGGAGGAGTGTGATGGACTGTCTCTCTGAAGCACTTAAGTAATACTTTGCGTATGTACACATACATGTTGTTTGTTTCAACAAGAATTGTCTGAAATGTTGCATCAAAGTATGGGCATAAAATTATGTTGTCATATGGTGCTAGCCTCAGTTAAAAATTACGAAGGAGAATGTATTGGAGCTGTAATAATATCCTAAAACTGTATAATTATACAGCGGGGATGGAAACATCCAATTCCATAAAAATTATTGCAAGGATTTTCTGAGAGGTGTAGTTTTCAGTCTCAGTATGTAACTGTTCAAGCAGAATATTTTCCAAGTATTTCGACTGTATAGAACAAATAATTGTTAAACAAGAGCTTTTTGCCACCATGTTCAGCTGCTACCCTTTGCACAGCAGTTGAACTGGCTATGAAACTGCAAAAGCCAAAAATGCAGACCAGTGGAGAAATGTCCAAAAATACTAATAATTAAATTGTATTTATGATGTGGGTTTTTTTCCCTCCACAGTGAAGGAGAGTCTGGACTCCGAGCTTACTACTGGAATACATTCTGGGCACCACAAGATATGGTTGCTTCTCTTAAAAAATTAACTCCAGTGGAACAAAAAGAAATCAGTAGTAAACAAGCAGCTCACATGTTCAGTTCTTCAGGGGAGGAAGATTTTGATCTTGTTACAATGGAGCTTTTTGGTAACAATGTACCTGTCATTTAATACCTATTCTGTCTATTTTTCTTTCTCCAGTCTGTGTCTTTGGCTTGTGTGGCTGATAGTTATTAAATTTCAGTTTCAGATTCCACAGAATATGATATGATGCTAAAATCAGGTAATTATGCTTCAATCTGAACTGGTATTACTTTGGGGGAAAAAAAAAATCCTGTAAAAGAAAAATAGCAGTTTTCCAGTTATTCTTATACCTGTGGGGCCTATGAACCAAAACAGACTAGGGGTCTCCCTAGTTCCAAATAAAGGCTGGGGTGAAAACACATTATAGTGTTTATTCTGGTGTTCTGACTAGAATGGTTGAAATTTAATAGTTTCCATTGAATTGCAATGAGCTGTGGCTCCTTTACTTTGACATCTTTTAAAAAGCTACTATACAAAATTATACATAATTTATTTGCCTTGTGACTAGATAATTTTGGTTATTCATAGTTAATGATCAGTCAGATACTGTAGAGCTGTAATTCACTTTGCCTGGTTTCTCCATATCAAGCACACCTTGAGATTGACTTCATATAATTAGTGTACTTATTACATGGAGAAGGGTGAAGAGAAAATGGCAAGGGAAGCAGTAGGCTTCAAGCAGAGATGGTAGCAGTTGCAGCCAAGTTGCACATTCCTGTTTGCTGCGTGTTTGATGTGCCAGTTGTGGTGAGGCATTGTACTTCCTTGGCCAGAGCAGGAGAAGGTGATGCAGCCTGGTAGGGAAAAGGGGATAGAGTTGTAAAGGTAAGGGAAAAAAGAGATTAGAGTAGTCAAGACTTGCAGGTAGGCAATTGTTGCCACCTCTTCTGAAATTTTACCCAATAACTTAATTTATCTTCTAATTTAACAGTTTTTCAGTCACTGATCTAGCTTCTTTTGTATAGCAGTATCCTTTGACCTGTATGCCAAGCCAGGGAACAACAGGACTCTAACTCTGATGAATCCCAAAAAGTCTTCTTATCAATGGAGGCTGCGAGTTCCTTCTAACTATGTGGTGAGACTTGTAGTTATCACTTTGCATGGTGTCACTCCAGAGAGCTGTGCATCACACCACTTATCAGCATATGATTTCCTTCTTCCTCTGCAGAACAAGATCATTACAAGGTATGATAGTACAGAGCAAAAATGTTTTTTGAGCTGAACAGAAACTCTCTGAAACTGTAACAATGTCAAACTGATAATAAACAGGCTTCCAAAATATAAGATTCCAAATACAACTTAGTTAAAAATCTTGTATAAGGCAATAAAAATATCATCCACATTATCCACACCCCCCCCCTCCGAATTAGATTCATAGAGTGTCTTGAGTTGGAAGGGACCCATAGGGATCATCATTCCTCACAGGACTACCTGAAACTAAACCATGTGACTAAGAGCATCATCCAGAAGCTCCTTGAACTGACAAGCGCCTGTTATAAATTCCTGTGGGTTTTATTTTATTTCATGACTAATTTTTAACGGTTTGGATTTCATACAATTACTGTCACAACTCAAAAAGATACAGACTTTCATTTTTTTGGAGTATTGTATTCTATTACTTTTAGAAAATACGTGTTTTATAGCAGTTCAGTCACAGGCAAATCCCTGTTCATAACAGAGCTGTGTGTCTACAGAAGTCTTTATCCTTAGAGTCACTGTGTAGTCCATTTACATAAGTGAGATCAAATGATATTTAACCTTCAGTGGCCACACTGCTCCTGCTTTCCAGAGTCAAATTTTGTGTATGGACATGTTACTTACCATGAACCTGTATTCATTAACAAAACAAATAAAGAAGTTTTTAGAATCTGAGGATGGATGGTTTCAAGGAGGGAATTTTTTAAAATTTTCTTTTTTAAAAAAAAGAACTTTCAGGGAGAGGCTAGCTGAGCATGGAGATTCAGTTAGCAGTGTCTGAAACACACTGATTTAGTAGTGCTTTAACTTTCTTGAGTAGGTGGTCATCTTCAGCTCTGTTAACAGATTTATTTCTCTCCTTATGCAACAAGACATGAGATCTTACTACTGCTGTCAGACTGTCAGAAGGCCAGGCCTGAAGCGAACACAGGGTTTTATAAGGAATTAGTCCCAGATAGTAGCATAGCATGGAGAATCCCATTCCTGATGCTGGGCTGCATCTCTTCTGCTGCTGATTTTGAGTTATTGCTGGGACTGTTACTCCATTGCGTGTTATTAGCAACAGCTGAGCTTTTTAGAAACCAGAAACATAGTCAGCCATGTGCATTAAAGCACCTGGAAGCTAGCGGAACCAACACAGGTGTATGATATAACATGTTCAGAGACCATCAATGCAGTAAGCTGTAAGACAGAAGGTTCAAGAATGTGCATTGATGTCTGTCTATCAAAGAACTGGAACAGAATTGGTGACTGAAGTGATATTAAAAGCCTGATTGTACCTCCAAAAAAGTTGTCTCTTTTTGGTTATTTTTTATTGCCACCCTAGCAAATGTGTGGTTTTGCATATGCCTTTTAGTTTTCTACTTAAACTGAAAGCAGCAAGTGACATATATTGACAGATGCAGTAGAACTAATAATAATAATGCCTTCAATATCCACAACAGCCAGGAATGACTGTATTATAGCCATTATTCCCTGATGTTCAGGTCTAGGATCGCTCACACATGGTGACTAAAATGATTCTCATCAGTTTTTGTAAACTGCAATAATATAACTGTTCATTGACCAACACTAAAGAGTAAGTGATCTGAGACTGAGAGATATACTGTAAAAGCTGTTGTCTCATGTGGACAACTCTTCTCATATGTGCTTGCCTTCCTATTCTGATAAAACTGTGACAAAAGGTACAGCTAGAAGATTAGCCAGGCTATCAACTGGGTAGAAGATCAAGATGCTGAAAGATTCCAACATAGCAGTGTGGAGGGGACTCAAATTGTTCATTTTATAAAGGATTTGGCAGGTATTATGATAAAAAGGATATAATAATGTCTGCAAAAGAGAGGCAAATCACAGATCCATTGTGCAGTGTCTCACATGAAATGGGAACAGGGAATAGCCTGCTAAAGCTAAAGATGAATACTTTCAGTTTAAAGTTCAAATATTCAATTTTGACGCTGCCATTCTGGATCTCAGTGATTTCAAAGAACTTGATGCAGGGCTGTGATAGAAATATTCTGTTCCTGTGAGGTCTAATCTTAATTGCTTTCATTTGTTGTGCATAGAAAACAAGAAAGCTGTTAGAAATCTTTTACAGACAGATTTGTAAATGAGTGAAATCTGAAATACACTGTGGATTTCCAAATGGAATAAATACAAAAGTGAATTTACAGATGCAAGAAATAACCTTTCAAGTTACAAGTGGTAGTAAGTTTTCAAGCTTCAGGATATAAATTAACTCCTCATTATTTAAACAGAAGAAGAATAAGAAGAAATTGTTGCCATGCATGGGGCTTCACTTCTTGTGTGACAGCTTTTGTGACATGAAACCAAGCTGAATGGTAATAGAATGGAAATGCTTTGGGCTTGTTATCTATTGCATAGATGCTGCTCAACACTGCTAAAATGGAACCTCTTGCTTTATCAGTGTTACCCACTACTCAGTGCCACAATCACTACTGAAGTAATATAATCTGGCACTGCCTTTCTGATGCTTCTGCAGGTCTGAAAACTCCAGGGCATCTGTTATGCAAGAATATTTGTGATGTTCACCCCGAGTGACTAAGCCTCAATGGTGGGAAACTATCATCTTGTGTAGTATCAATTGGGTAGAAGAATAAAGGGGAAGTGGTAGCCAGGGGAATACTTCTGAAACACAGACAACCAGAACAGTGTTACTTCTGCCCAGTTTCTCAGCAAAGATGACTGAAATGTGGGGAATGTTTTGGGGGTTTTTATATGCAATTTTCTGTAATATTTCAGATGGTGTGGACCTGGGGCCTGGACTCCTCCTATTGTACGTTTAACTTCGTCAAGTAATGTAATGTTGCTTACCTTCTCACTGGACCGAAGAGAAGAAAGCAACATGTTAAAAGCTCATTTTCAAGCTGTTCCTAAAATCAGTAAGCAATTAATAGAAACAAGCATCTGATGTGAGCACGCTTATTCCTGCTGTTGGTTCTAAAAAAGCTGATATTACCTGAACGTATCTGGGGGGAGGGAACGTTGGCATATAAATCAGGGAACTGTCATTCCGATCCACTTAAAATGTCTGAGAACTGAACAAAGAGAGCTGAACACGTAGAGAATATCCTTTGGTCTGGGAGATTTTTTTTGTCTTCCCGATTATTACCCAAGCCATACTTTCCAGACATTAATCTTTCTGCATGGGTAGCACTGTGGAGTGGTAGCGGAGCAGCCAGCCAGATAGCACCACAGGCACTATATGTCTAAGCAAAACTAGATAGCCCAAATGATACAGCAGTGCTTTCATCAGTTTTGGCAATCTATCATCAGCTTGGGGAATGCGTCTTTAATGAAAATGGAAAACAAGAGCAAACACTTCTAATATTTCTTTTATTCTTTTCTGAAAGCACTGGTCAGTGTGGTTAACTGTATATAAAAAAAAATGTATTCAAGACCCAAGAAGCATATTCCAAACCTATGGAGTGTTATGAATTTTGCAGGAGTTCTGGGTGATTACTGAAATGTTTGAATAACAATAAACTGTAGTATTTTACAGGAGATATAGGGGCTTCACACGTGAAAGTAACCACAGTTATTTGGTAAGCTCTAAGTGAAAGAATTTTGACAGTGAAGCAAATTATTATTTTTAAACTTGTGGAATAAATTGTAAGGAATAGACTTCTCCAAAGCTTACACATTTCAACTTATGTCTCTGTGGATACTGCTTAGGCAAATATTCATCCCATGCACATTACAAATTAGAATTGCTTCATTGTTCTGAAGATGGCCATTCCAAATTATGTATAGCCCAGGTTTTGCCATAAAATGTTGCTATTTTCAAAAGTGTCTCAATTTCTGTTATATTCATGTTTGCATTTACTAAATTACCTAAAGGGAATGAAAAGCACTAAGAACTAGATATCTAAGAGATTTCTTTGTAGAAAATAAAACCTCAAAAATATTGTTCAAATGTGGCATGAATTTTCAGACTGAGAACTGATACAAAAAAATTCCTGCTTTACATGAAATTAATCCTTCAGAGGTGTTTTGTACTTATCCTTAATTGTAACTGGATCCAAAACTAAGAGAAATTCAGCAGGATGGGGAAGTAGAAGTTATATGATTTTCTGTTAATACAGGCAAAACTTGAGTTTAATACTCGCACAACACATTCTTCCACCCCTGTACATAAAGAAAGGTCCTAGCAAGTGAAGTAGGCTCTGTACTTTAGCCCTGCTGAGGTAACAGTGTTCCTTGCTGATATATTTCTCTCCTAGTCTGTGGTGGTCATTATATTTCCTGGAATGGGACACTGAGTTCCCCTTATTACCCAAGTTACTACCCACCAAACATTGACTGCAGCTGGATCATCAGAGTAAGTGCTGGGAACTCTTCTGAGCAGTGATGACTTTGCTTTATGTGATAAAACTGGGAGAAATGCCTTTCAATGTGGGTGAAATGGAGGGAAAAAGTACTCAGACCACTGTACCTGACTTCTCAGGCACCCATTTCTTTCCTGTCCCATGTATAAGTGCCAGGTATGGGAGGGAACCATCGCCAGGTTCCAAAAGTTTGAGTATTATTCATGAGAGAAACAAAGTTGATGGGTGAGATGAAACTCATAGCAGCCAGAGAAAATCGCTTTGCTTCTATGTCAGAAAGAAAAAATGGTCAAGTAAATCATGCCTCATACGATGGATAACACACTGGATTTCCTTGAACTCTGCAGAAACAGGACATTTTCTGGCTCAGAAATTCAACTCTGGATTTCCACCAAGCCCTTTGGCAGAACTTAGAATATGCTCATGATTCCCATCAACTTCCTGGTGTGGGTGTGTTTATCTGTTACACCATTTAAGCATTTAACTACTTTTTTGACTTTGCACGGAAAGTTCTTCATGTCTGTGAGTTGGTAACAGTCTCTACCTTTCACTTGTTCAATGAAAATTATTAGCAGCTTGTAGCACAAAACTCTCAACTATGTGCAGGAAAGAAAAATGCTTTCTAAAACAGAGAGTTGTCAGCTAATGCAGTTGAGTGACTATCTGCCTTAGATATCTTAAATCTTTTATTTGACCTACTGAAACACGTGACAGTACAAACATAGCATGAACCTCAGATATAGTGCTTTGTGTTGGCTGCAGGAAGGTGTACACTCCTTTATCTGGCCAAAGTTGGATCTAAAAATATTTCTATATATGTTTAAAATAGCAAAGTTTTTTCATTCTTCAAAGGTGCTGGTTTGCAAAATAAAAAATGCAGTATTTTCCATCTGATAAGTCAAACAAGATTTACCACCTCAGAAGCACAGAACCTTTCATTTTGGGGCTGTGTGTATCAGGATATTTATCCTTTCATTTTTAGGCACCATTGCCTGGCTACAAGCTGTCATTAAAAATCCTCATAATACAAATTCAAGAGAAGTCTCCAGGATCCAGTACATGTGATAAAGACTGGTTAGAAATTGATGGGGTTAGGTGAGTAAATACACTATTAATTTGCACTTTAATGCTCTGCACAACATATCGTACTTAAGAAAAAAAATGTCTTGCCACTTCCAGTGCACAAAGATACATTTCAACAAAACCTGGCATGCTTCCACTGAATTTCAGGAGAATAATGTTCTTAATCCTGCCCTGGTACTAAACACTTGTCATTATATTAATTTAAGCATCTTGCTTTTTCTGCAGTGTTAGGCACTTTGTTGCTCCCCTCAAGAGCAATGAATGACATCGAAAACTGCAGGTTTTTATACAGCTGCAGCTGAACTGTAAGCTCCTGCAATGGTCTTGACATGAGTGAAGAGCTTGTGTCATCTGAAGTTTCATTTTTCTATACCACTTTTCAGTGATTGTAATTGTTTTCTGTAAATAAGACAAACTGCAATCTGTGTACTTAAAACAATACAAAGAAACAACACCACCTCACCCAAAAAGATCCCCAAATCAAAAAGCCAGTATTCAGAGTAGTTTGTCTCTTGGAAGGAGTGTATTGAAACCAGCAATTTGGTTGTATGATTCCATTTACTGGATTTTTAGCCTTTGGTTTTGCAAACCTAAATGGGAAATCTGAAATCAAGCATGCTTACAAGTCCGTTGTATTTACAAGGTAGATTCTATCACTGATCATCTGGCTGTACTTCGTTTCAAAGTTTGCTAGTCCCAGAAAAGTTGTGGAGTGGAAGGAATTTGTAAATAGGCTTTCTAATACTTCTGTTGGGCTGTTTTAACACTAAAAACCAGCTGATATTTATTGTATTGTTTTAAAGTTTTTTGGCATTGTTAGCCTTTTGTAAGTGGAGAGGTTAACTGGATGGTAATGCTCAATCCAGTTAGAAATTAATTATTCTCACTTTTGCCTTGCTAGATACTGTAATGCTCTTTCAGAAAGCAACAGAAACAGAGAATATGGCTATTCTGTTGCAATCAACTTCCATTCTGATGAACTGGTTACCCACAGAGGGTTTTATATTGAATACAAAGCCTTCAGTCACACAGACCGTAAGTCAATAAGCGTGTACTTTGCTTTTTAAGGAGAAACCTTCAAGAAACCATGCGTGACAGACCAACCACATACAAATCAACCTGCCTTTTTTTTTTTCTCAACCTAATTGCAACACATGAATGTTTAAAATGTTATTATGTATTTCATTGAACAAATAGATGTACAAAATTAGGTAAAAGATATTTTTAGAAACCAGTACTTATTTTCCAACTTTTAACAAACTTTTGTACAATGAGAAGTAAAATTTCCCAATTGCTGTAGATCTAATTATTTGGCATTTTGCTAACATGTTAAAATAGCCAAGCTGCAAGATGAAAATAGTGTCAGCGAGCCTCTAAGCGTGCCTCTTCTGCCAACAGGAGTTAATCATGAATAGTTAGTCCCTTTAAAATCACAAATCAGCATGTTCTGGATCAGCTTCCAGGTTTAGAGAAACATTTAAGTCTTCATGGGTAGTCAGTGAGGACCTCTCACTAGCAGGTGTTACAGAAACATGGCTGGGGTTCTTACAGCCCTTTCCTGACTCCCCAGTCTAAGTGCTTCTGGATCAGATTTCTGGGGGGCTTCCAGAGGGTGGGACAGGGATTTTCAGGAGATACACATATTTACTTGTGATATTTCTTTGAAAAGACACATCTGCAATGTATACTTTGGAAATGTTTTCTCTTTCCTTTACCCAACTAACGTCTAAAGTTCTCTCTGTGATTTCTAGAGATCTGTTCAGTTTGTAAAACCTCTTCATATCCTCAGCTTGCTCGACTGAGTGTAGTTCTGTTCCGTGCTGACTTAAAAGTATTTATGTATGAAGGCTTCTGGTGCAGATTCTTGTTTCATGCCTTTCATTAGAAATAAACAGCAGATTTTATAGCCAGTTGTTCTACAGGACTCGCATATTTTCAGGGATTTCTTTTTTCACCATCTCTTTCTATGGGGAAATAGTTACAAACTATACTGAGTCTCTGCCTACTTTGGTTATTGCCTCAAAACCAGTTCAGACACGAGTCAAGGAGTAAGAATACCTTTTTTTTTAACGGAGAAAATCCCCAGTGTTTATTGCATGTACAGGTCTTCCTGTGTGTTCTGCTCAGTTTCTAGCACTGAGTCAGCAAGCAGACAGCTCAAAGTTGTGTAATCAGTTCTTAGTCACAATTTTAAGGATCTGTATTAAGAGTCACCAGGAGGGGTAAATTAGCTGTGATGTGTCGGTATGAAGTCGATACAGTAAAGGTATTTGTAGAGGGCTATCTGAGAGAGCAGAATGTATTGAGAGCACTGGTCTTCCACAACAGCCTTGCCTATAGCAGTAGTAAGGGGGAGGGGGGGGGAAATAAATTAATTTTCTCCTACAGATTTAGTACCTGCAGTCACCCACCTCAGATTAGCTTCTTTCCATTGTTAGGAGCCTAGCAAAGCATGGTTATTAAAAAAATAACAGGCACTGCTCTGAGTTGACCCAGAAAGGAAAGGACAGCCATCAGCTGAATAACTTGAGGGAATGATGAAAAGAACCTAGAGAGACTCCTGCTCTGAGCTAGTGCTGGCTGTGTAGTGTGCACTGGTGTCACATGCAAGGCAGTGAAGAAAACGGAATGACCCCTGACTCAAACTGATTAAATAAATGTGGGACAAATGTGTTTGGTCCTTCAATCTGATCTAGCTGTTAATTTGCCTGTGGTGCTAGAGGTGAAAAGGAAACCTTAGCATCGATACTAGTCATTAGTTTAAGTGAAAGTGAAAGAAAATCTTGGTGAAAGGTGGTTTTGTAATGAAATTGCTGGAGTTGAAAAGTGTTTGATAAAGCACTTCACATTAGACATGAAGTTGGAATGTTGTAGTACAGAGATGAATTTCTACAACATTTTAATGCCAGGAAATTTATATTTGTAATACTAAGGAGAATTCCCTGTTTTTTTTGTTTGTTTTTTTTTTTTTTTTCTCTCTCTCCTCTGATTGCTCCTGTGTAAAACACATTACCTTAGTACATTGAAGAGGTGTTCACTATTGGTAGTAATTACTTATCTGTGCTGAATCAGTTTCAACCCTTAGAGTGAGGTAGTGAATGTGAATTTAATTTTCTAATTCCATTTATGTGAATATTGATTCATTTCATTCAGACTGCTTGATAAAAGTCTTTGGCAGATTATGCCAAGTAAAATAGCATTTCCTTTTTTAACATTCAATTTGGTTTATAAATAACACTGACTTTGGATTTTAATAGCCGTTTTAATATTTCTTCATAGTGCAGACTTGTGTTAACGCATTTAGACGATAACAGCATTTCTAGTGCCCTTAATTTCTTATTTTTCTAGTTTGTTCTTAGATGTGCATATAGAACATGCGTTCCTTCAAGTCATCGGTCTGAAGGCTGGAAAGGCTGCTCAGATGGCAGCGATGAATTAGACTGTAGTAGGGCAATTATATCTTTTTTTGTGTTCTCCTGTAAAGTTTGTTCCAGGAAGTTTAGAGACTGGCTGAAATTATCTTTGAAATATTGGTGGCTATCTTTAAGATCACATGAAGGATGTGGGTGAAGATCTAAATGTCTAGAGAAGAGGCTGTGTAATGCATCTTTTTAAAGAGTGGGAGAACAGAAAAAAGTAGGAGGGAATTTTATACCAATCTCTACAAGTTAAGCTCAAAAAAAAAAAAAAAAAAAAAGGCAACAAGTAGTCAAAGTAAACTATCTGTAAACAGTGAAAAAGGTATTAAAAACCAGCATGGAGTTTGTAATTTTATTTTAGTTCTCTGCTGTGAGAGAATAAATAGAGAATTTGTACTTTGACACTGTCTTGTGTGACAAACTTATCAGTAAGTAAAGGAAACAGTGAGAAAAAAAAAAAAAAAGAACCTGTTTCCAGAGAATTATTGCCAGTGACTCACTGCCAAAACATAAGGATTATTTTTACTGTCATTCTGCCAGTCTGGGACATCTCATAATTTTTATTAGTGATCTAAATGATGGATTAGAGGAGATTCTTATGAAATAGGAAAGTGTCACACAATAGAAAGAGGGATGTATTTAATAGGGATGCATTTATAAATGATCCTGACAAGCTGGAGAATGTATATGGAGAAAATTATACTCCATTCAGTAAAGACAAGATCTTGTGGATCCACAAACATGTGGATTGTCTAAAATTGCTTTCCTGCTGAAAAATGGCTGGGGGGTGATAGTGGCTCAAAAGCTGACTTGAGAGTCACAAAATCATACAACACAATCTGTGTGTTTTGTGGTTGTTTGGTGTTTTGTTGGGTTTATGTGTCACACTAGGTTATAAGACAGGAGTTTGCAAAGATCGTCCCAGTCACCACTGGGAAGGTTTCAGCTAGAGACCTGTATTCAAAGTGGCACTGCACATCAAAGATAGTGAACAATGAAGTGATGCCAGAGAGAGTGACCAGAAGGTAATCCAGGTAATCCAAGAGAACACAGCACAAATTAGGTAACGCAGCAAGTCTCTCTGTCACTGGAGGCTATCAAAACCAAGGTAGACTCATGTCTGGCAGAGATGGCATAGTAACATCAAGGTGACCTCTGGTAGGGAGTGTAGCACATGGCTTCTAGCCAGCCACTTGGATTACAAAGCATTTACAGACATTTCTTCTTCAGGTTGTAATCCAGAAAAGTTGAACTGTGGTGATGGGAAGTGTAAGCATCAGTATAAGAATTGTAAAGATGATGACAGCTGTGGGGAGGACAGTGATGAAAACAACTGCTGTAAGTATATATTTGTAGCTATTTCCCAAAAGATGGTGGAAGGATAGAAGCAGGAATATGCTTATTTTAATGGATAAACGTAGCATTTCTCTATATTTTTTTCATAGCACAAAGTACAAGCTTTGTAATGGTGAAAACAAAACGTGCAGAGTATAACTAGTTCTTGGGAAAGTCTAGACAAGTAATTAATGAAGCAAAATCCAAGATAACAGTGATATAATTTAGGTGACCTAATCACAGCTTGCTGGTGATCCTGTTAGAAGAGCACTTTTTCCCCCAACTGCTGCCAGATCAGTACCAAATAATGTAAGGGAGAGAGACATAACAGCTTTGGGACTTTTGCCCTTTGTCATGTGCATGGTCCCCTGACTACAGATCTGCCATGGTTACAAGGCATTGCTGGTTCTAATAATGTCTTCCTAGTGACTTGCTCTATTTTACCTTTACGATTTTTGCCTTGCTTTGAATCTTCAGTCCCTGAGGTAGCCAGGAGTATGTCCTTGTCTGTTGAAAAAAAAAAAAAAAAAAAAAAAATTTTAAAAAAAATCCCTCATCCCTCCCACTGTTTAAAGGTTACTGTAAACAACTGATAATAGGAATGATAGTAATGGAGAGACCTGTCAGGATTCCCACATAATAAACTGTGATAGTCCTTAGCCAAAAATTTGTTGGAGGGAGGTATAAAGCTCTTCCACAATTTTCTCAAATTTTACTGAAAAAAGGTTAACTTTCAGATTATACCTGCTGCGAAGATTTATAATTTGTAATGTCAGTAGCAATGGTGAAAGTAAAACAACAGATCTGACAAACCTGGCTTGCTCAGTTTAGAGTTAAGTAAAATGAGAGTGAGGACAGTTGGAGGCTCTTCTGTCTTTTTACTCATGGGCAGTGGAGACTGAAATTAGTGTGCGCAGTAGTAGGAGCGGAACACTCACCCTGTCCCCTCTCCATAGAGGGTCCGATTTACACAACTACAGACTATGACTTCAAGCAGTTTGGAATGTGTATCTTGGAACAACTTTTCACCAAATTGGTTGAATGTACGAGGCTTTATAATAATTTGAAACTGTGATTCCAAACATGTGACACTATCTTCTCTCTCTTATTTCAGCCTACAGAAACTGCTCCCCTCATGGATACAAATGCCTCAATGGAAAATGCTTGCTGAAACCAAACCCTGAGTGTGATGGGAAAAGAGACTGTGCAGATGGATCTGATGAAATGAACTGCGGTGTGGTAACTTTTATTTAAAAATTAGTTAATGACTTGGGAAGACGAGTCAGTAATTTGTGCTATGGTCAAGCATTATTGGATTAAGAATTGATTAAATCAGATGTGGATTTAAAAAAAAATATGAATCTCCTGGTAACATCTGTATGAAAATGTCAGTCTTGAATTTTACACTGTTTCATTTTGAATGAACTGATCCATTCCGTCTATGATGACTTATTTCAAGCAATGCACACTTCCAGGATACGCTGGTAGGTCTTAGTGCTTGTTTGAGCTGAATGAAATGCAGTCAAGGAGCTGTGAATGTAAGGAGGGAGAAGATATGAGATTTTATTCAAGTGAGCTTTTGGAAACAACCCAGCTTAGAATTGTGCTTAAATGTCTTTTCGAGTTAGTAACCTCTTTACAAAGCTCTAAGGGAGTATAAGCAATGATTGGCTTATTTCTGACTTGTCTCCTGAGTGAAAATGGGCAAGTACCCTTACGTTTTTGCCAATTCCACAGTAGGAAAATACTTTTTTTTTTTTTTTTTTTTTTTTAACAGCGTTTTGGTCTGTGGATAACCGTGTGTTAAATATAGCAAAGAGAAATGAGCTTGTGTCTTTTGTTACTATTTTATTCAATTATTTCTATTAGCTTGTGGAAGAGACCAGTTTAAGAAAAACAGAATTGTTGGAGGTGAAGATGCAAGATCTGGAAAGTGGCCTTGGCAAGCAAGTTTACAGATGGGAGCATATGGACACATGTGTGGTGCATCTGTTGTTTCCAACAGGTGGCTCATATCTGCTGCCCATTGCTTCCTGGATTCTGATTCTGTGAGGTATGAAGAAGTTATACTGTCATCGAGTATTTGCAGTTTGATAACTTCACAGTGTTGCTTTCAAAAGTCTTCAGTAACTATTTCTTGTCTAGATGATTCAGGGTATAGCTGACATCACTACTTGAACCCTCGATATTGTATTCTGCTGGCTTCAGAAGTCCTAAGTATCTGAAGTAATTATTTTGCCTCTATGGTCAGTGAATCCTGCATGATAAAACGAAATGTTTTGTTAGATCTAGGGTAAACAGCACTTTTATAGAAGGCAGGGATTTTCTGAGTAGGACCTATGTTTTTTTCTCTCAAGAAAAGGACTATTTATTGGTAAGTAGGGTGATAAACTCACCAATGTTCAGCTTAGTGTAAATTGAAAAGACATGCCTCCTACATGTGGCAGAGGAAATACAGTTTAATAATATGTTTTGCGGACTTCCAAAGCATGGTGCATTGCAAGGAATTGGTCTCATAATTTCCTGGAGCTATTATTTTCAAAATAGTAAGTAAAAACATTACTTAATATTTTAGGAGACAGAGACTCTATCTTCCCAAGTGAATCTATCTTCCCAAGTGGTATTCTACTCTATTCACTTTGGTTTTGATGAATCCCAGCAAATACTGAAAAGCAGATTAAAATGGAGTGAACTGACACTGCATTACTTTCCAATGGGATCTTCTAAAAACATTCTCTTTACAGATACTCTGTTCCTTCGGGGTGGAGAGCATATATGGGCTTACATACTATTAATGAAAAGAGCAGTCGTGTAGCTGTGAGATCAATCAAAAGGATTATTGTCCATCCACAGTATGACCAATCTATCTCAGACTATGACATTGCCCTGCTGGAAATGGAGACACCTGTGTTCTTCAGTGAGCTGGTACAGCCCATTTGTTTACCCAGCACCTCTAGAGTATTTGTTTATGGAACTGTCTGCTATGTAACTGGCTGGGGAGCCATAAAAGAAAATAGTATGTTCATTTCCTGGATATACTTCTTGCAAGTTTGGCTTAATTTTAAACTCTAACAATGAAATATTTATAGTTGTAAGAAAAAAACCCTGCGGTTTACTTAGTAGGTCTGTAAAAGACTAGAAAATGTCCCCTCAGCTACTGTCTGTGAATTCTGAATGTTTGCTTGGGTGGCAGGTGATAACTAACAATATTCATACTCAGGTGTCACAAGACCATTGAAAAGCAAATGACTGTAGATTTACAAAAATCTGCTTATTTTCATGCTTATGACTCATTATGTGAATAGATCATAAGCAACTTTACAGGTAAGGAAAACAGCAACTTGCAACTACTGCAGAGAAAGAATTTGTCTCTAAGACTGTGTTTGACAACATTGAGCCATGAACAGCAATAACTGAAAATATATCGTGGAGGTTTTTTATTTTGTCTGTCTTAACCAAAGCTAATTGCATGTATGGACCATGAAGAGTTCTGCCTCTGAGCAGCTTGGAGTAGCATTCTGCAAGTGGGAGTGCAAGAAAAAAGCAAACGGAGTTGGAGAGGGGCAGTGGGGTAGCCCATGGGATATTGGCTCTGTTTTGGCATTAAACGGGAGCCAGCTTTGAAACTTGGGCTTAGACAGCTCCTCAGCATTGCAGCGGTCCCCACAATTGCACAGAGACCTAGTTCCTCGTGTTTAATCAGAAGCGATATACTATAATTCTGGCTTTCTTAATATGCCTTCTTAAAAAAAAGGTTTAAAGCTAGATAATAACACAATAGCTTCATGAAGTGCAAATGGCTTTACAATTGATAATTTATTACAGTTCTTGCATTTAACAAAATAATGTAGGTAATATCTAAAAGTCAATATAGTGGCATGTGAAAAAAAACATTTTCCTATTTTACCTGTTTTATTCCCAGCTCACCCTCAGAGCTGAAAAAGTAGCCAAACTAAAGCCCAGTACTTCCTCTGATCATCCAGATACTGAAAAGGCTGTGTTCACCACTGAGCCAAAACGTGACTGAAGATATTTAGTTCACAATGACACCTTATGCCAATGCTATAGTATAGAATTAAGCTCCTAGCATCTCTTGTGACTTACAGGCTTGATTTAAAAAAATTATTTCTTTTCCCCCTCTCAGTTTCACTCCTCAGCTCCTTCCTTAGAAGTGAGAGCATGGAAAATAATGCAGAAATTTCATTTAGTAGGACTTGGACAATGTTCACAGCACAACCATAGTGTAAATAACAACAAAAAAACTTTGAGCATAATTTGAAATGGCATTCAAAATTATTCACACTGCGTGGAATCTTGTATTATATTCATAATTTGCCCAGCTTTTTTGCTACTTTCTATCAGAACAAGCTCATAAGGATAAAGCCTAAGGAAATTGAAAGGTGGTGCTTAGGGACCTTGTCCTGGTTTAAACCTGGACGGCAGCCAAACACCATGTAGCCATTGGCTCACCCTCCCCTGTCCCGGGGATAGGGAAAAGAATTGGATGGATAAAGGAAAAATCGTAGGTTGAGATAAAAACAGTTTAATAATTGAAATCAAATAAAACAATAACAGTAATAGGAATGCACAATTCACCCCCTGACTGATACCCAGCCGGTTCCCAGCTAGTGATCCTGGAAAAACCAAGATTCTGCAATCGCAATCCCAGAAGCAAGAGACACCCCCCCTTCCCGGCTGACCCTCCTTGGTGTACTGAGCATGACATTACAGGATATGGAATATTTCATTGCCAATTTGGGTCTGTTCCCTGGGCAGGACATGGGGAGTTGGAAAGCCCTTGATCTCCAAGCAACAACTGAAAACATCAGTGTATTATCAGCATACCAAATCCCATACTGAATGCAAAGCACAGCTCTATTCTAGCTACAAATAAGAAAAATTAACCCTATCCCAGACAAAACCAGGGCAGACCTCTTTCTAGAGGGTAGTATAGACAACAGCTTTTGAAAGCTGAGGCCAGGCAGCAATTGAAGGAGAGGGATTACTCTCCTGTCATCAGCTGGGTAGATTTTGAGTTTGGAGCAATTATTTTTTGTTTTGACAAGTGGTATCTCTGTTAGAAATCTGTACTACCATAACCTCTGCCGTACCATTTGTATTTTTTCTAGGTCATCTTGCCAAAACACTGCAGGAAGCTCAAGTGAGGATAATTAACCAAAGTGTTTGCAACAAGTTGTATGATGATCTTATCACATCACGTATGCTGTGTGCTGGGAATCTTAATGGTGGAGTTGATGCATGCCAGGTAATCTGGATTTTATAGAAAAACTACAAAGGAATATTTGCTTTCATTGGAAAACTGTTCAGAGCTGTGGGTTGTTTGTGGGATTTTTTTCTTTTTTTCTTAGTAATGGAGTGAGATGTCTTGAGTGCGTGGTTAATTTAACATGGCAGTTAAAGGCTCTCCAAAATAAGGAAGGAAATTTAGCATAGATAATCTCTGAATCTCTTGAGAAATGTTGCTTTGAAAAGACAAGGGATAAAATGTGTATCGAAAAGAATTCTTTTTCTTCAACAGTTACATTTCCTATAAAATAACAGAGATATAAGGATAAATGGAATAAAGTTAGCGTCGTCTGCAATTTTTTCTCTTAATATTTTTTTTTTTCCTTTTTTTGATGTCTGGATGTGGGTTTAATAACTGTAACAGAATAATGAGTAGTGTATTGTTACATTTACAAAGAAATGCAAAAGGCAAAGGTAAGCTAGGTTTGGTAAATGCAGTTTAAATGCTGCCTTTTAGTTTCAAATGTTCATTCATGTGTATAACTACAAGTTCTGATTACATCATGGTATCATATGACCTAGTTTATTTGCACACACAATCAGAAACTGCTCTTGGAATGTACTTCAACTGTCTTAACTCTGCCTTCCTTCTCATTCTCAGTTACTAGACTAATTGTGTACTTTACCAATATTTAAATTTATCATGATGAATATCCATTTTCAAAATTACCAACATGGTTATTATACCAGTTACTGGTAAAGGTTACTGTAAAGGGAGAGAAATGTGTTATTGAAGTTTAGACTGTGTTAATTTGATAAAATTATTGGGCAATATAAAAATGTTACTGCTTTAATATAATAATTTTTGCAAGATCATAGCTCATAATGGGTCAAACTTCTTTATACACAATAGACTATTGGCAGGATCTTCCTTCAGTCTCTAAGTTCTAATTCTGATAATAAATTTGATAATAATAATGAATTATTATTCTTAATTCTAAATTTTAATTAACTATGTACAGTTTGCCTATAACCTTAGGCCTTGGCATTGTTTTACTAAAACATGTTGGTTTAGAGGCTTGATGTTCCTCCAAAAAATGTGTTGCTTAAGAAATGCCCTTGAATTTTTAGATGGACATACTAACCAATTCAGCTATATACCATACCGGTCACTCCAGTTTCCAACATAATATGCTGTGTTTGAGCCCTAGCACGCTGGCTCTCTGGGCCTTTAAGTTTTTACTCTGGTTAGTGCCTTTGCTATTTCTTTCTTTTCTGTCACTCGTGTATTTCCTGTGCAGTGCTGGGGAGGAATGATGTTGGCAGTTCAGGAAATTCCCACAGCACACTGAAAAACCCTTTTACTACAGTTCCAGACTTGTGGGCATCTTGATTTGTTTCATTTCTTCATGGACATGTACACTGTGCATGTACTGGATGGATTATGTGAAACTTCCAAACACCTTTCCTCTTTAGAGGATGTGATACTTATAGTGAGAAATAACACATTTACTCCTTCAGACTCTGCTTTCTTATCACTCCAGGATGTTTTCTGATCTTGGTTTCTCTTTTTAGGATCCTTCTTCTCTCCACCAGCATACAGCCCCTTCGGTCTTTCCGAAGTGGTTGTGTAACTGGCTGGACTATGTAGCCTCCTTTCTTAAGTCACTTTGAGATCAGCCTCTTGGATTATCAAAATTGCCAGGATGACAGGAGCCTCTTTCTGTCTTCTTTTCTTATCTCTAGATAGTTTTGTTTGGGTGGTGAAGGCTTTCTCTTTTCTTGGTACATGGCTTTCTTCTGACCTCTTCCATGTTCTCCAACTGGGGGCAACAAACAAACCTCAGGGTCAACTTGGAGGCCGCTGGCTGCATTGCATGCGTAAGGAACAGCTGCAGACATAAGCTGCATTCAGAGATGCTCGGAATTCTCTGAACTGGTCTGTTCACAGAAGGCATACCAATTTAAACTGATAAAGGGTACAAAGTGTTTGTGATCCTAAATACATTTTGATTCTGTGAGCTGAAGTAAATTAGAATTTTTTATTTTCTACATTACTTTACAGAGCTGCACGTTCCCTTTGAGAAGCCAGTTCTTATTTGCACATTCCTTAGTTTTTGTTCCTTCCTCTCCCTCTATGAACGTAAACAAGGTCTTGATTATGAAATTACTAATAATACTTAATTGTGCCTCATTTGGTTGTTTGGTTTTGTGTTTGGTTTGGTTTTCTTGGTTGGCAGTATGTGGTATCTTTCTGTTCCCTTTTAATACACAATATAAGAGTTGTACCTTCAACCTGTGAACAATTTATGGTCAAATGGTAGCAGAATTTCCACTTTTCTTCCCTGTCTTCTCTTCTCCCCATTCAGCCTGTGATCAGTTGCTTTACGAATCCTGTGATGGGACATTAGCAATGAGAAATTTTTTAAACAACTTCTTGCCATTGCTATATATTGATTAGTGTGCTACTTCCATAACTTAAAATAAATTTGACATTTATCTGGGTACATTCTATCCAGAAATAAGATTATAATATTAAATTGTAATTTGGGAAAGAGAGGGGCAGGTATTTACTGTCCTTAAATAACCTGACAGTGCTCTGTGTGTGTGTGTGTGTGCGCGCCTGCGTGCACTAATGGCTGAACTCCCTTCATTTTAGGGAGATTCTGGAGGTCCCTTGGCCTGCATGGGAAAGGGAAATAGATGGTACCTTGCTGGCATTGTGAGCTGGGGTGAAGGATGTGCTCGACGCAATCGTCCTGGTGTATACACTAAGGTGACAGCCCTTTATGACTGGATTCGTCAGAATACAAACTGATCTGCCAAGGAGAAAATGCAGATCATCTCCCTTATGAAAGCGGTTTCCTTCCATCATGTCCACCTCTGATAGTGTAACATGAGAATGCCATTGACTGCTTCTCTGTGAAGGAATGCATTTTCTTTATGAAGAAACTATCATGTGTTGTTCACCTAGCAGTGACTGTTCAGATTCAGAGAAACTTCAAATTCCTTATGGATTCATTTTTCTTATCCCCATCAGCAGAAACAGCACTGCCTTAAAAACAAAACAAAATGGATTAGAACCTGTAGCAAAAAATCCAGCCAAACTTCTCCTGCAAATCTTCTCCCCTCCTTTCATCTCACTTGATACCTATATGTCTCCATATACACATATCTGGATATACATGGCCCAGTCCCATATATACTCATATATATTACCTTAGTCATGTTACAGGATTCTAAACGTAAATTATTTCATGTTTCTTGGAAATACAAATACTGTAATCAGCATAGCATACAAGGCTGAGATTGATTCATTCTCTAGTTACATTGTCACTGCACGACTTTCATTTCTGGGCTGTAACTTTTGTGCTGTCTCCTGTGTTTTCCTAAAAACATCAGATATATAGTTCAGAAATGTTAGGATGCAAGAAATTTTCATTAAAGAACTTGAAGAGCATCATTTAGGTTGTTTGGAATGTTGTTTAAATAAGAGGAAAGAAATACTCAGTTTTAGTTAATTAAACAGAAGGAAACTTTAGTGCTTTCTTACATTCTCTTTACAATTTGAACATAGCCGTAGGGTCTGATACTTGCAATGTGTTACAAGTGTATTTCCCCAGCTCTGTCTCTGGCATACTTTGTGAATTGTTAGCATGCTCCTGAGTGGGTTTGCACTGCTTCTCCTGAAGTCCTTGGTCTACAGCAAGCAGAGTTTCAGGGTCAAGATCTTTGTTTTGTACTACTTTCTGGGCTGTGCCCACATGGCCACACTACAGTGAAAGGGACATTAAAGGAAAAGGGATTTATGTGGTTGGATGCATCCTTGGACTCAAAGAAAGTAGAATTGGCAACGGTAGCCACATTCCTTTAACCCTAGCAGTAGATCTAGCTTTGATAATTATAATCTCCTGACAAGCCAATCCACTCAAATCTAGCTGATTTAAGGTTTCCAAAGGTGTTTATGGGACTTAAGAATGCTGGTATTCAGTTTAATAGAAGATCTGTCTTAGATGGTCCTAAAATTGTGCTCAGTATTTGGAAGTGTTTAGCTTTCATGCTTAATGTATATATAAGAAAAAAAAAAAAAAAAAAAAAAAAAAAAAAAAAAAGTTGGCAATTTGAATACCAGTCATTGCTGTTCACACAACACACTTTTATTCTACAGTACATCAATATGTGATCCGTTGTTTAGTTTTAGACCCACCTTGGCAGCATGTGGGGAAAACACTGGAATGAGCTAGCGCTGTAATCTGCATGCAGGGAGATTCCTGTGTCTCACTGATACTGCTTTTCCTTCCTTTCTTGAATCAGTTTGGCCATTTCCCACTCCCCCCTGCCCCTCCCCCCTGATGCTTGTGTCAAACTTACTCCATAAGCTATACTCAAAGCCCGTATTTTAGGGGGGTTAGTATCTTTAATGGCTAGTCAGTCATTCACATCTTCCTTTTTAATAAACACATGCAAAAAATGCAAGTGATTATGTTTTATTCATTTGTGCCTTTGAACTCTAATCCCCAGGTGTAATCAGAACTACCTTTGTACGTTAGAGTTTCCTCTTTTTGTAAAGCTGAGCCTAGCTTGACGATTTTGTTAAAGTGCACATTTAAGTTCACAAGTTTCCTTTCCCTATATTGAAACTAGAGATGTTTTCACTACAGAAGAAAAACAGTTCTCCTGCTCTTCTGTTTTAGATTAAGGCCTAAACCAGAAAGTTTGGATCAGTTCTTGGCTTCCTGTTTTCTTTAAGTTTCTCAGCTCCATGCGTCATAAGAGTTAGTTACTTCACATGCAAGAAAGGCACCAAGTGTGGAAGTTAGATCAATCAGATGAAAGTAACTCAAGATTTTGTAAGGAACTCATTCACAGATGCAAATAAAAGGACTTTGGCTTTTTCAGGGTGAGATCCATAATCATTAACTCATTTGACTTAGAAAAAACGTTCTGGTTTCAGACAGTTCAGTACGAAGCTAGGGTCTTTTACTGTGATCAGAAATGAAATAAATTAAGTTCATCTCCAGCAGGAGTACTTGACAACCATCAGGTAAAGGATTTCCTAGTGAAGATGTCCAGGTAAAATTTTGTGGATCCGGACCCATATTTTGATCTTGATGACTGCTCAGCTCTGTCCTCAGTCCTCCTGAGTTTTAAGGATTCTTCAGAACTGAAAGGTGGGGTATGCAACTTGTATTTCTTTTTATTTGCTGAATGAAGCCAAGACATGTGCTCAACTTTATGGAGTGCCTTTTCCTGGATGGCTGTGACATGAAGTCTGAACCCTCAGGAATGCTCCAAGCATCAGTAGCCAGAGGAATTACATAAAGAGAAAATCTGAGGGGAAAGTATCCTCAACATTTGGCAAGAGAAAGAAAGAGCAGTACTGTTCGTGGATACTCAGCCAGCAGGGGAGGGAGTTGGAGAGCTAGGCTTTGTTTCACTCTTAATGTGTGACCCTCTCTGAGCTGTGACAAGAGAGTGAGCAGGAGTGCAGTTACTGGCTGCCTGCTCAACCCTTTGATCCAGAGGGGACAGAGGTGCTCTGCGGGGAGGAAGGAGAAACACGAGGGTGGAGTCAGAACATGAGAAATGAGAGGAGGTATGATGAAGGATACTGGGGATGTGGGGGGAGGAATCAGTCCCCAGCTACAGTAAGTTGTTACGAGTGACTCTAGCACGGGAGAGTTCACGTGGGAAGTTAGCGCAGACCAGATCTCAACTCACACCATGATTTGCTTCATAAAAGCATGCCCTGTAGAGCACAGGCTGGAATGAAGGCCACCTTTCTCTTCTCTTCAGATTTATCCTTTTGGTTTTTCACATGGCAGCCACTTCTCAGGTTTAGGTTGGATAGTATGTGAATAGTCTTAAATGGTGCTGTAACACCAGACACGGTGTTAGGCTGCATAGCAGCTAGAGAGAGGACAATTCACGGCTAAAAGGTCAGTACTGTTCATTTCTTTATTGACTGTACAGGGAGACTAAAATTAGAAGTGTTGATGGATAAGTTCCCTACACAGCCTAATTGTACAAGCAGCTGTGTGATCCTTTATTCAGCTTGTGCTGTTCAGAATCACATCTGTTTGTTTAGCTGTGCGGCTAACAGCAGTGACATTTTACTGTTTCGGCTGCTAGCAGCAGGGAAAGCAATCTGGTTCCTTTCAAAATTGCTTTAGCAAATGACAACGTTGCTGAACGTTTAGTCACCTGCTTGTCAAGGGCTGGTACAGCAAGGTAGACAAACTGGAAAACCTAGTATTGCACAGCTGAGAGCTGTAGTTCTGACGGCTAGGCAAATCGATACTTCCTCCGCCTCCCGTTTCTCTCTAGCTAGGGCAGATGACGTTATTTGTCCAAGGATTTCCCCTTATTTATCAGTGTTTTGAGATCAGTCCTGTGAAAACTAACACAACTCTCTATGTTACCGTGCCCAGCCTCACACCAGAACTGCTACTGACCATAAGTGCCACTGAAACCAGAAGGAAATGAGTTGTCGCTGTGCTTGCTTCAGAGACAGCAGTCCTCGTGCAGAGACAGAAACTATGAAACGGCAAAGCTCTGGTCAGGAGCATGACATTATTGAATTGCAAGAAGATAACATGGAGGAAAGTGAGGCTGATCATGAAAAGCCTCTAAATTCTCAAGCAAGAAAGGTAAGAATTTCACTTGCTCATTTGATGCTTGCTGTTGGGGAAAATACCACACAGCAAGAGAAACAACACTGCAGGAACAACTTGTAGGGGTGGTTTAATTTGTTTGAGGGAGAGGGAAGGTTTATTCACTTGGAAATAAAGGCTGAAAACCTGCTAAACATATTTATTTTCTTCTTCTCAATGAAGGATACTAATATTGGAGTGGGATTTTAAGCTTTTCTATTTTTGTGCTTGGCTGTTTGTGAAATTAACTAAGAAAATTAAGGTCTAATTGGTACTCTGAGTTTTGCTTTCTCTTTTCATGTGCTGTCAGTGGGATCTGGGCTCAAAACTAGAAAGGAGAAAAGTTGAAACCCGAGTTAGAAAAACAGGCTTTCTCTCAGAACAAATTAATCAGGAAAGAGCACTGCCAAAACAAGAATAGGATGTCCTGCAACAGACTCGATTCTCTCTCTTTTTATCTCTGAGTAATTTGTAGTTGCTAACAATTACGAATTTGTACAGAGTGCCCCAAAACCTCAATTAAGACCAGCATGTGAGTCCTGAGGGAGGTAGCTTCCAGCTTTTAGTTTAAAGCTATGGAACAGACTAATGCTGGCAGAGGAGTAATACATACTCACAGGTGACTGTTGTAAAATGATTTTCATTACTTACTCAAGAGACTACCTGTGGCAGAGCTGTTTCCCACTTTTCTGTAGGAATGGCTGACCCCTCCTGAGAGCTCATCTGCATTAGTCATGCCACCCCTCCCTTCCTGCTCCTGGCAGAGCAACAACGACTTCTTCCTTGTGTGAGCCCCACTGATCATCTTTGTGGGCTGATTCATTCCACCAGCTAGGCAAACCCCCCATTTACTCTACTCAGTCGGGGGGCAGTTACTTCTACTCTGGCCTGGTAAACTGAATCAGCTTGCGGCGGGGTCAGACAAATTCTAGGGTGGTGCAAAGAGGAACAGGAGAGGGTAGAGGAGAGGCCGGGGTGAGCGAGATCTGCTCAGCTGTCTTGAGAAACTCTACCCTTTTCTGTTTAGCCTTCCACTTCCCAGAAATGATTTTTCATTTGGGCTCAGTTTCTGCCGATTCTAGAAACTGGCTCCCTGTCCTTTAGGGACTACTGGAAAATTATCATGCTCTTCTTCCTTCCGAGGTGGCAGGTTAATCAGAACAACTGCCCTGGCCACCAGGGAGAGGCTCTCTCTGTTGCTGCTCCCTCTCGGCAGTCTTGTGATGTATATGGGCAATGTCCAGAGGGTGTTGGGATAGTTGGGGAGCTGAATGTCTGCTTGAGATCAAGCCAGTTTGCTACGCCTGATTAAGAATTACGCTTTTTTGACGGTCTAAATATGTGGCTCATTCGAAACCTGGACTTGATAGTTGTCTGTCTCATACTGCTATGGCTGATTTCGTAGTTGTGCTCTAGGCAGTACTTACGGGCTTTTTTTCAGACACAAAACAATACGCTAGTGTCAAGTATTAAATTGAAGCTTCATTCTTCTAATACATTTCAAAATCAATTAAAAAATACTTATGTAAACATGATCATACATGAAAGCACGCTGTAAGCTAAACCATATTCAGCCTTTGCCCTTCATTCTTCACCAAAGCAAAGTTCCGCACACAGGAGAGCACTTTCCCTTTCTCTGCCCCTGATCCTGGAGAAATGACTCTTGTAAGATCTTTGTGTGGGTGGCTGTTTTCTTTCCTTGTTCATCTGTCGCCCCCAAAGCAGCTTTAAGCCAGCTGGCGGATGTCAGTTGAATTCAGTGAAAGGCTTTCTATTATGCTGAGTTCTTAGAAAGTTCAAAAAGTAAAGGAAGGTAGCCCGGGTTAATGTCTCCAGCCAGCAGCTGGTTCCTGCCAACCTGCATGTGTGTGGCCCAGACAACGTACAGCGTGTGCTTTTCTTTTCCTGGTACTGATGTCAAAAAGGACATGGACTTTAGTGCTGGGTTTATGGCAGATGGGAAGGAGGAAGAGGAGATAAAAAAGCATCATGGTCTACTTATGAATTCATGCCCTTCCTTCAGTCTTCTGGTTGTGGAACAAAACAATTGTAGTTTTTTGGTTTGCTATGTAACCTAAGTGTTTTTTTGTTTTCTGGCTTGTTTTTTTAAAAAATGTTAGTACTGCTGCAGTAATTATTAAAAAAACTAATTTATGCCGTGGTCTTAAATCTTACTAAAAATTAAATGGAAGGCCAGTATTGTCCTTTGTCTCCTATATGAACATATATGCATAAACAATTGTTTTGAAGAATTTCCTTGTGATCTCCTAGAACAAGTGAGATTTGTAATAAACTCTCTGTTAAATATATTCAGTAGCCTTCAAGTTTGCAACTGTCTGAAGAAAAAGGGCATCAACTGTACATGTCCCAATTGTTTTACATTGTTTTTTAATGCAGTAGTATCTAATGAACAGCAGTCCACTGGCTTTGGGTGCTGGCACTCAGGAGCTATGCAGATTGATAGCATCAATGTTGCAGAGGTGAATGATCCTGGAAATTCCTCCACAGACACATTTTTGGTTGGGAGAGAGGGCAAACTTTAAAAGGATAGCTTGTGGAACATGTAAATCAAATTGATGTCATTTTAAAAACATTTGGAACCCATGAAAGCACCTTTGTAGCACCTTAGCTTTATGGACAGTTCAGGGGTGGGAAATTCTGCACAAATGGGGAATGATAGGTTTCTCTTTCAAGTAATAACCTACCTGTGAATGTTCTTTGCCTTCTGCAGGTTCCCACCTCCAGCAGTATTTAATGCTGAGAACACCTGGTTGTAGGGCATTGCTTACCAATGAGGCTCTCCCATCTCTATGAGTTTTTTTTGTTTCTAAATGTGACAGTAGAGACATGCTTCAATGTTTTTTCCTGACTTATTTCATTAATCAATATTCCCTTTCCTTTTATAACTAGGAGAGCAATCACTGGAAATCATGCAGGAATGTAGTTTTCTGGAAGTGTAAATTATGGATGGTTATCACTACAATTTTTCTAGTATTCTTCCTGGTCATTCTCATCAGCCTAATTCTTTATTCTAGTAAGTATCTCACTCATGGTTCATCCTCTAATACAAATGTTCAATATATGCAATCTAATATAACGCAAATTGAACAGTAGCATCCTTTAAACTCATTTTGTAAACTCCTGAAGGGACTGAGATGCTGACTACAGTGGGTGGTGAGTTGAGTAGTGGATGTGAATGTTTTTATTTTAGCAGGCAGCAAGCTACTGGTATCTGATTGGATGGCAATTCCAGTTTGTAGCTAAGTGAAAAAATGTTATGAGAACAGAGTCAGGGATGAAGATGGAAATGATGCTTATAACATTGCAACAATTGATCACCCTTATGTGATACCAGTGCCTGTCAGGCTCCCAAAGCAGCTGACTTTTGCTAATGGCAGCAGGTGATTGACCTCCGTGTGCTGTCACTTTACTTCAGGTGGCTTGCACTGTCTGTCACTCCCAGTCAGTCATTACCTAGAAAAAATGTGAGAAAACCACCTTGGAGAAAGCCAAGAAGGTTTTTTTCAATACTTCTGCTAATTGGAATTTTTTCCTCCTCTTTCTATCTCCTTTTGTATATAAGCTGTTTACACAGATGAGGATGACTACTGGGATCCTGATGCACTACTAAATAGTGGATACTATCGCAATTTTTCAGGAACATTGGAGTTAATGTGTGGTCTCCCACACCTTTTCTCTGAAGAAATTACTAAGAGGGTATGTGTTGATGTGCTTCTTGGCAAAGCTGATTCTGCTTGTAACATAGATTTGGTGTTTTCCTTTTTAAGAAGTTTGTTTCTCTGTGTAGCTACTCCGTCATTTGCAAGTCCCCAAGAAATTGAGTTGCACTTTTTCTAGTAGAATTTTAAATCCTGATCTGGAAAAAAAATTGTGTGCTTTTAAGCACACAAGCAGTTTACACCGATTAAAAAAAAAAAAAAAAACAAACACAAAAAACCTGATTTTTTTCCCAAATTTGAGTAGTGGTTGGAACATAGTCTTTACCTTTTTCATAGAACTGTTGAATAATTTAGGTTAGGAGGTACCTGTGAAGGTCATCTAAACCCAATACTGACTAAAAGTCCCGTGTGTTGCATTCTTCTGTAAGCACATGATGACAGCCTGGGTTTATAGCTGCTGTTTCCACTGAGCCGTCACAGCTCTGAGTTACAAGTGAAATAAGCTCAGCAAGCATGGCACTGCTGATTTAGACTTACTGTGGAAAGCGAGTCTCAGTAGTGAGACCCTTCCCTCTACCAAGTAAGAGTAGAAGGACTTTTTGGTACTAATAAAAAACCCAAGCCAAACAAGATAAATTGCACATGACAACATGAGCACACACTTTTAGTTCACCCTGAATGCCTCCATTGTGTTAAGATAATGAAGTAATCACTCAAACACACAGATTAACTTGTCTATCAAGCTTAAAGGGACTGTGTACCTTTTCCAGGGCAGATATTTGCTGATATTTCACCTTCAGCACCCATGTTTATGCCCTTTAAAACAACTTGTAAAAATGATTTGCTGTACTTTCTTTTATGGGGAAGGGAGAGTGAATGGAAGAAATATATTTTCTTTTTATTTTGTTTTTTCTCTCCAAGTTAACAGATGTCTACAGTTCATCTCCAGCTCTAGGACGCTACTTTAGGTCAGCTCAGGTGGTTTATTTCAGGTAAACGTTTTCTGTCACAAAAATTTTCTGAAAATTCTGGGCTTTTCAGAGACATACGTGTGCTGATGTAAATATGCATGACATTTAAATCTGGGAAAAATAAGTTGTTTGGGGGAAGTTACGTGTGTAAGTAGTGAAAACCAGTCAAATGGCAAATGATGCTAATAATATATAATGACAGTAGCATTTTGTTGATGTTAAGTATCATCTGTCTTTGGTTCCAAGTGCAGCCTTTAATGAACATATTCAAGGATATTTATTAAAAGGAGAATGAGCTGCTGGAACCACCTGAGATTGACACGGCTTAAATAGCCTTACATGATTAAAATGGGGTTCATGTGGAGGGGAGAGCTGCTTTGTTCCCAAAAGAGCTAAAGGCAACAGGGGCATACAAATCATGAGAGCCAAAACAGTAACAATATGTTGCTGGTTTGTTTGGGCCACTTTCCCCCCTCACTTCATTTTGGAGAACAGGAGCAAATCTCAAAGCAGCAGCATGTTGGAGAGACTGATGGAACAGGAGTGAGAGGCAGAGCAGGTGGCAGAGGGGAGGCTAGGCTAGCCTGGGTGGGAGACTCATGCATGTGAAGGGGAAGCTCAGCCACTGAATGCTGGTGGAGTCAGAGAACTAGCAGTGATGAGAAGGGAAAAAACATCCAGGCCTGCCTTGCAGAGGCAACAGAAAGCTTCAAACTGGAACAAAGGGAGGATCTTACCCTTGGCAGAAACTGTCACTGGAGGAAGGCTGAGGAGTTTGCTGTGTTTGAGACTATAAAGTTTGAATCTATGCTGATACCACAGGTTTACAACAGGAGGGGAGGCTGAGCAGCAGAGGGAAAAGTGGGGCTGGAAAAATGAGCTGCAGCGTGTCCTTCCATGGGGACATAACAGAGAGGCAAGAGAAAGTGGTCAGAGAGCTTCCCCAAGGACTTCTGAAAAAGCATTGTTACAAAAGGGATTAGAAAGACAGGAGAAGATCAAGGGAAGTAGATTTGCAAAGTCCCAAGGCCCTTGAGAGAGCAAGGCCAGAGGAAGAGCCCCCTTGGGCTGCAGCAAGGGGCAGTCCTGAGGGCACTTTGGGGAATGTGCTCCCCTACACTGCCAGTCTGGGGCATGCTGGTGCTGTTCAATGAGCTGTAGCTCCTTAGCCCTGGTAAAAATGATGGTTTATCCATGGGTAAAAATTCTGATTTAGATCATCAAGTGCAAAGCTGTAGTGCTACATATGTATTGATGAGCTGATTTATCTCCCCCTCCCCTGCTTTGTGTATGTGTGTCTCTGCCTCTTTGTCTCGCTGTATCTCCTTTATTTTTGCCCCATCCAACTACATTTTTAATGTTTTAAATTCTGCGAGTACAAAATGTAACTGTCAAATTGTAGTCAGTTGCATTTGGTAGACTACAAATAATGAATCTCCAGAGATGGACTCCAGTTGGGTGGTTTGTGTAATCCACTCCAGAACTGAGTTTGGAGCAAAGCTGGGTGGCCCCAGGTACTGCTAACAGGAGGGGAAATATTTCTGCAGGTTCTCAGCTAACCTGTGCATGAGGTATTGCAGCACCTCTTATCATGATATACTTATGAAGCACAAGTGCTGAAAACTTCACCCTTTTAGGACACATGTCCAACTGCCCTTTGTGCATTTGAAAACATTTGGCTTCAGGTTATGGGCCCAGTTTCTTTTATTGTCAAGAGCTGTTCTGAGAAGGGAGGGGGAGGAGTAAATTGGAATCTTTGTTGGCAGCTTTATCTTATAATGCTTTTGTTTGGAACAAGTTTAAAAAAAATCCACACCAACACTGATATGAAAAGTCAGTCTTCTCAAAAAAGAAGAGATCCAGCAGGGACTTGAAGGCATTCATTCTTGACTTTGTTTGTTTTTCAGTAACGAAAGCTCCACTGTATTTTATCAGCTAGAGTTTTCTGTACCACCACAAACAGATGGGTTTATGGAAAACACGATGAACCCAGATTTTATAAGGAACATTTTACGTCAAAATATTTATGATGAATATGATACTTTTAATCCTGGGACATCTGAGTGTAACACATTAAAGCTTGACCCGACTTCTCTCACACTAACATGTAAGTGTTGTATGTTATAGAGACTGTTTCTTTACAAAGAACAGAAGTATGTACTTGAATGGAGAGAAATTTTTCTGGAAAGATTTGGGGATTTGCTAGTAAATATCTTTTGCACAACAGTATTAAGAAAATTGTAAAATACTCAGTTCTCAAGGAAGTCTTGCTATGCTTAGCTTATAACCTAGGATTTACTGTTTGGTCCTCTGAGGAAGGGATGAGAATGGTTAGCTATGGACTCCAACCAAACTTTTTAGATTTCTTCTTGTGTTTTACGCATGCAAAGAAAATCTCTTGTGTGTGTGTACCATAATGAGGAGCCAAACAATTAAAAATGTTTCTCCTCAGTGTATATTCATACTTGAATGTTTATAAAACAAATTTTATTTCAATTAAACAGGGTAAGTAATTTGGGAGTGAGCTTCTGATTTTTTTCACAGACAAGGGTGAAAAAACCCTCCTGATTTTTGTCTTTTCAGAGTTTTGGGAGAAGATTTATTATGCACAGATACCTTTTAAAGGAATCAAATTTTCATTCTTCCAGGTTTTCTAGGTAGTTATACCAATGACTACCAGTGACTAGGTCGTGATTCCAGTGCATTTAGATTTATCTTGATTGAAATGTCAGTATAAAAGTCCTATGAGCCTTGAAGTTTTACTGAAAACAATGCATGGAGCTGCTTCCCCCCAACCCTCAACTTACTGAGCCACAGCTACGTGCTTTCAGAATAAATCTAGGCTCACACCTATAATGTATATAAGTAAGTTTGTGATTAACTCATATTGATCTTTATTGGTACGCTTATCAAGGGACAAGAGAGCAACAAGTCATGAGTTCCAACTCTCAGTATCATTTTGTTATATATTGACAAGATTCATAGAAAATGTAGTGTAAGAGGGACAGGAAAGAATATGCTGAAATATCTAACTAAAGTTTCTTATGTTAATAGTGTATTGTTTTAACTTTCAGAGAAATGATGGAAAGACTCCTCATCATCTTCCCTTCCTAGAAGAGATGGTCTTCTCCTATCTATTATTAATCCCAGGGCAGGAAGCTATTCATTAGGTAGAAACACTTCTAAAGATGTTGTCCTGTAAATACCGGCTGTGATGCAATGTTGTAAATGGAAAATGTGGTATATTTATAACAGTGTTGTACTCCTATAAGAATGCTACCTCCTTTACTGTGGTCCTGATATCTCAATAACCCATGTCACTCTTGTGAAAATCATGTATCTTATCTGATACATGCTCTGTTGACTTTGAAACCTCTGCTTTGTCTTGCCTTATGATTAAATCTGGATTCCCTTCCCTTTAAAAGCAGCTCCTTTCTTCTTCTCTTGGCTCATCCAAAATTATCTGCACAGCTTCATCCTTAATGCTCGTTTCCACCCATGCTCATGTCTGTTACTTTTTCCCCTGCTAACTTCATATGCAATGTTTCTCTGTTGTTTGTTTGTTTGTTTGTTTGTTTGTTTGTTTGTTTTTTCCCTCATAAAACAACCTGGAAACTTAAGTATCATCCCTATTTTCTTTGATTACATGGAAGACCTTTGCTCTAGCTTCTTAAGTGAGCTGCAACTCTCATCGCTCCCTTGTTCATCCTACAGTCTTCCTGGATAAGGCGGTATCTGCTCTGTTTTTCTCTTCTGTAATGTGAAATAGCAATGAAGGAAGAAACATGTCTTGTTCACTAATGCATCTGAATGCCACAGGAATCTTTCAAGGGTCAAATTAGCTGTGTGCTTTAATAATAAGCTATTGGTGCGGTTGAATAAACAGCTAGTTGACCCACATTTGTAAATTCAAAGAGAAACTAGTCTATACCCTTGATTCTAGTCCCTGTCCCAGCAGTGGGAATAAAAATGAACAGATGCAAGGTAATTGCCTTAATAAGGCAGGAAATAGTTGTTCTTGTTGACAAGAGATTGGGTGAGATGGACCAATGCCAAGAGAAAGGTGCTGAAGCAGACCACGTAGGCCAGCGTGGTATGAGTGTTACAGCCAGTAACTGGCTATAACATGGAAATTAAAAAATAAGCATTAACTTTATGTGGAACGGAAAGGATTCACTACCATGTTAGTGAAGTATAGCTTCTTGTCATTTGTTTATAACCAGTATAAATGTTAGTACTGTTGGATAGACAAATTTATTTTAAGAAACCTTTAGTATTATAAGAAATATCTTATGGGAAATTGTGTTTCTCTCTTTCTAATATTACTATTTTATTTAATCTGACAATTACTGCGCATTAAATTATTTATTTTTACTCTTAAAGTGATTGTTCTTCATTCTTCAGCATCTCCAGTCTTTCAGCTGTTTGAGTTGGAAAATAACCATCAGAATTCTTAATGCTGAGAGTTGTATGAAGCATCTGTCTGACACAGTTGTACACTCAAATCCATATTTGTTGTTACTTGAGTTTTAACTGATCTTGGGAGACAGTCTGAACCAAATTATTAGTTCACATGGCTCTCATATTTGTGGTTAATTCTGACCCCATCTTGATTTGTAAGGTGTAGCATTGGCTGTAAGAACCATAATTTCTCTTGATGCAACATTCTATGCAGCGTACAAATGGAAGAGATGTTCCTTCTAATTCTAACATTGGGGAAGGATAAAATCAATAGTTTATATGGTTTGTCCCAAAAGGATCAGGTTATGAAAATACCAGCAGCGAAGAAATAATTTGTCTTTGAGATGCTGCTTGATCTTACTGCTCTTACTAAGATGACTGAACCTGCCCTTGAACATTTCTTTATCTTGATTCTGTTTCTAAGAACTGAAAAATAATATAACGATTATGCTTCTTTGTTGCGGTACCCCTGTGTGCATTAAGAATCAACAGAAAAAAGGAGCCATCCTTTTTTTTTTTTTTTCCCAGCCATCCTTCTCTGCCCCAGTACCTTTATCCCAGCAGTTCACAGGAAAGAAGAAGGTGGAGTTCAGGCAAGATGTTCACCAGAAAGTGTCCAACCTTACAGCCTACCTCATTGAAGAAAATACCAAAAAAATGACAAAAAGTGGTTTCTGGTTTTATATATTTGAGGTAAATTGATCATGTAAAAGAAAATAACCACATAATTATGACTTCATCCACTGGGGACAGAGCACTCTGAAAACACACTATTTCATCAAGTTAGATATTTTATGTGAATGTTTAATGTTAATTTTAATAGAAGGAGTGTGGGTAATACTTCAATGGTTGAGGCAACTGAGACACTGTTAAAAAGGAAGATAAAAGATAGTTCTGGTAATTCAGCTTGTGGAGTGTGCAGCCAGCACTTTGAAATCCCATGGCAGGCAGCCGTCTCTGCGGCCACAGTAGCTGGTACAAATTTTGGGCAGATTCAGCTGCCTGTCACTGCAGCAGTACCTGTAGAGTGCTGCCTGCACCATGCTAGCAGTGTGTCTGCATTCATTTTCATAGTCTTCTAAATGGTGGGAATTTTTGTTCTACATGCATTTAATTGTTTGTTTGTTTATTTATTTATTTCCAACTGGGTTAAGACTTCACTCTAAGATAAGTAGTATTAAATTAAGGGGGTGGGGGTGGGGGGCAATTTGAGAAACGAGTTATTAATCAAAAAATGTACATCGTATAATGTATATATCAAGCAGGCCAGAGAAACTTTGGAAAAGAGCAAACGGGCCTAACACGGGGTCTATGCTTTTGTTTAAAAAACCAAACACCTTCAAACAAACAATAAAGGGTGTTTTTATTGCATTTTTGTAATTTCTAGCAGTAGTTCTGTAAGACACCTTTTTAAAAAAATGTACAGTGAAAGTCCAGAAGAATGTGCAGCCTCAGTTGTTTCTAGTAATGATGCATCTAACTTTCTATAGAGAAACGTTGTCTTACAATGGCAGTTGCTACTAATTCCTCCTGGTTTAATTGTCCTGTACCCTGTCCATATGTCTTTCTCTAATCTCCTTTTCATGGACAGATTTGTCTCATTGGAAATGATGGGCACGTGTCCTAGTGAATAAACGAGAGAGAGATGTTTGTTTGAAGACCCGACAGCAGAAGTACAATGGTTAGCAAGGCTGTACACATTCAAGTAAAAGAGTGCCTTGGGAGCAGAAAATGTCTAAGTTATCAGGACGTAATCATATTCACTGTGCTCTTCAGCGTTGGTGATATTTTCCTTCCTCTTGGGCACATTGACAAGTGCATACTCTGACTGATTATTGCCTTTAATCACAGAGGTTTCATGTTTTACATCATGGTAGACAGTAGAGTACCACAGCTCGCTGGAATTCATACAGTCTTTTTTGTCAAAATGTCCCTGGGAGAGGGGAAGAAAGAGAGAGAGAGAATCAGTGTGATTATACCTTGAAATCTGCAACGTGAACAAATCTGGTGTAGCCAGCGTGCTCATGCAGTGGTGTTGAGCAATGTACATAGTACTGAGAATGGTTTGTAAATCCAGTCATTTCCCTACTGTGCTGGCTGTGGCTGGACACCAGCAGCACCCAACAAGTACACAGCTGGTGTGGGTGGAGGGTGGAAGCCTGACCCTTGTCCTGAGGCTGGACTGCTTAGCGGCCTGTTATGTGATAAGAAGCTCATCACCACACACACACATACAAGGGAGCAAGCACATCAGCACAACTTCAGGAGGGAGCCTGGATCATTCCCTGCCCCAGCTTCCCCTTGGGGCTGTTCCAGGAGAGGCATCATCCCAGTGAGCCCAGGGGAACATCCCACCCAGCGAGTGAATGGAAGAAGGTGGGGATGGAGGGGGAGTTACTAAAGGTATGGGACATAATATTATTGATGCATTGGAGGGGAGAGCATTTGGGGTTTTCACAAGATTTAACATGAGATATTTAGGGGAGTAACTAAAGGGAACGGGTCAGGCTGATTTGCAGAGTAAAAGGCATAGAAAACCAGAGGAATACAGGGAGGGCCAAGGGAGTCGCAGCCAGCTGCCAGAGAGACTGTAGGGTCTGAGAGTCAAGTAAGACCCCAAGTGTGTGTGTATGGATGTGTCTGTGCAGGAGACACACTGTCCTGGAAGGGGCCCTGGCCTCACAGGAGATGCAGCGATGGCTAACCCCCTCCCTGGCTGCCCTCATCTAAGGCTCTCCTTGAAAATGGAGGGAGGTGAAGGAAGAGCCGTTACTGAAGGAGGAGGTAAGCTTGTGTGGGTAAATGCCTTCCCAACTCTGTTTAGACATGTCCCTCCTCTTGCCTCTTGAAGGTGTTTGCTAATGGGTTGTGGGTGATTGTGCATCTAAATAGCTATAGCAGGATGACTCACTACATCTAAAGGGACAAAGTGAACTGATTAAGTCCTTGGAGGCAGAACTTAAAAATTTGTTTGCCCTGATGCTCTTGATTTGAACCCACTGGGTAATAAAGCCAAGGAGTAAGTACAGGTTTTATTGTGTTATCCTCTATTGTCTACAGGGGTAGTAATATTTTAAGTGGGTGTTGCTGAGTTCATGCTGACATTTATAGCCACCTTTCCTACTCTGTAAGTGGAATAGAGGTCTCTGCTTCACAGGTTAATAAAACCAAAAGGTTTGCTTTTATTTTTCAAACTTAGAAGTGAAAAAGAATTATTAGAACATAATTCTTGCAGAATCTGTCTTGGATTTTCCCAGTTTATATAACTGATTTTGTCTGTTTAGATTTTGCTCGGTGCGAAAGATTTCCTGATCTTGAGGACGCTTCACTGAAAATAATTTCTGAGTTTTGATTTGAGGCTTTATAAAATTTTGAGATTTAGAAATTCCAGAAGTTTTAAGGAGCAGAGCAATCACGGTGGACTTCCTTCAGAAAATTAATTCCCTAGTTACCTGCAGGTTTATGCCTCTCTCCTCCCCCACTGTCTCTTGCAAAGACTTGGGAGAGCAGCAGTATTTCTCCTAATGTGCCTGTTAAGTGAGAACAGGTAGGGTCTTAATTTTTATGAGTGATTCGCTCCAAATCTGCCACGATTGAGTCTTGTCCCACATCAATCCACTGAGTGAAGTCTGAAGTGCCTCTTGTCCCATCCAACATATAGGTCTATCCAAGACTTGCTCATAGCCATATTTTCCAGAAACCTTCCAGTCTACAAGTTTTGAAATGCTGTTATCATCGACCTCCTCTTATCAGCCGGGAGACTGAAGTGCAGATGTGGGGTGTTTTGTCCCACACACTGATGGTGCAGAAGAAGGAAGCATGAAGAGTCTTGGATTTCATTAGTCTTTCATTATTCACAGGCCAAGTTTAATACTCAGAAGGGGCATCTCTCCTATTGCACGAACAACCCTCCCAGGACTGTCTTCAAACCTCACTCTGGGGCTTTTACTTAGGATAAAAACTCTGAAATCTAGACAGCTACTTGGCAGGTTTCCCATTACAGTTCCACCTCCTCATCCTCTCTTCCTCCACAGTCCACCCCACACTCACATGTATAAACGATGATCTCATTTAATCACACCCTTTTCTGTCATCTTGC